GTAACAGTATTTTTAAAGACTTTTTTAAAATTTGATTTTTAGGCCGAAACCAGTTTGGCTCAGTGGATAGAGTGTCGGCCTGCGGACTGAGGGGTCCCAGGTTCGATTACGGTCAAGGGCATGTACCTTGGTTGTGGGCACATCCCCAGTGGGAGGTGTGCAGGAGGCAGCTGATCGGTGTTTCTCTCTCATCGATGTTTCTAACTATCTCTCTCCCTTCCTCTCTGTAAAAAATCAACAAAATATATTTTTAAAAAATTTTTTGATTTTTAGATAGAGAGGAAGAGAGAGGGAGAATTTAAAGAAACATTCATGTGAGAATGAAACATCAATTGACTGCCTTCTGCACACCCCCTACAACTGGGGCAGGGGCATGACCAGGAATTGAACCAGCAACCTTCTGTTGCATGGGATGATGCCCAATCAACTGAGCCACATTGGCCATGGCTGTAATAGTCTATTTTAAGTTGATGGTCACATAAGTTCCAACATATCCTAAAATCACTCACCCCTTCCCATTTATGTTTTTGTCATTTTTTCATGTGTGTTTGTATGTATCCCTTAATTTATTATTACACATTATCTTTCTACTTTTGTCTTTTAATCTTTGTACTAACTTTATAATTGGTTCACTGCTTTTATAAAGTGTTTGCCTTTGTCAGTGAGAATTTTTTTCTTTCCTATATCTTATTCATATTTTTTATCTTTTTTCCTCAGAAAACTTTATTTTTTTATTTTTATTGATTTCAGAGAGGAAAGGAGAGGGAGAGAGAGAAACATCAATGATGATAGAGAATCATCGATTGGCTGCCTCCTGCACACCCCCTACTGGGGATCAAGCCCGCAACCCCGGCATGTGCCCTTGACTGGAATCGAACCCTGGACCCTTCAGTCTGCAGGCCGACCCTCTATCCACTGAGCCAGACCAGCTAGGGCTATCTTTTCTTCTTAAAGAAGCCCCTTTAACTTTTTTCATAATACTGGTTTAGTGGTGATGAACTATAGTTTTTTCTTGTCTTTATCTTTCTTTTTGATTCTAAATGATAGCTTTTCTGGGTAGAGTAATCTTGGTTGTAGGTCTTTGATTTTTATCACTTTGAAAATTTCATGCCAATTCCTCTGGCCTGCAAAGTTTCTGTTGAGAGAGAAATCAGCTGACAGTCTTATGGGAGCTTCCTTGTACATAACTAACTACTATTCTCTTGCTGTTCTTAAGATTTTCTCTTTGTCTTTAAACTTTGGTATTTTAATTATGATCCAGCTTGGTGTGGGCCTCTGGTATCATCTTGTTTTGGATTCTGTGCTTCCTGGACTTACATGTCTATTTCCTTTGCCAGGTTAGGGATATTTTCAGTCGTTATTTTATTTTATTTTTTAATATATTTTTATTGATTTCAGAGAGGAATGGAGAGAGTGAGATAAAAACATCAATGATGAGAGAGAATCGTTGATCAGTTGCTTCCTGCATGCCCCACATTGAGTAACGTGCCCGCAACCTGGGCATGTTCCCTGATTGGGAATCAACCATGACGTCCTGGTTCATAGGTCGACACTGAACCACGCTGGCCAAGCCAGTCATTATTCCTTCAAATAAGTTTTCAGTCCCTTGCTCTCTGTTCCCCCTATGGTATGCCTGTAATGCAAATGTTGGTATGCTGATGTTGTCCTAGAGGTCTCTTAATCTATCATTTCTTTTTTTCTTTTTTTTGTTGTTAATTCTCACCTGAAGGTATTTTTCCCATTGATTTATTTTTTAATATATATATATATTTTTTATTTCAGAGAGGAAAGGAGAGGGGGGAAATAGAAACATCAATGCTGAGAGCCAATCGTTGATTGGCTGCCTCTTGCATGTCCTGCACTGGGGATCAAGCCCACAACCCCAGTATGTGCCCTAACTGGGAATCGCACTGTGATCTCCTGGTTCATAGGTCAACGCTCAACCACTGACCCATGCCAGCCGGGCTCCCATTAATTTTTAGAGAGAGTGGAAGGGAGTGGGAGAGACACAGAGAGAGATAAACATCGACACGTGCCCCAAACCCCAATCAGGGCCAGGGATCTAGCCTGCAACCAAGGTTCATGACCTTGACCAGAATCAAACCTGAGACCCTTCTGTTCATGGGCCGATGCTCTATCCACTGAGCCAAACCGGCCAGGGCATAACCAGTGTTTTGAACTCTCCATCTGGTAGATTACTTGCCCCCATTTAATTATTTTTTTGGAGTTTCATCTTGTTTTTTCATTTGGAACATGTTTATCTCCTTATTTTGGCAGCCTCCCTGTATTTGTTTCTGTGTATTAGGTAGAGCTGCTGCGTCTCCTGGTCTTAGAAGAGTGGCCTTATGTAGTAGGTGTTCTGTGGGGCCCAATGGTGCCGTCTCCCTATTCACCTGAGCCAGTTGTTCCGTGGGTGTCCCTTGTGTGGGTCGTGTGTGTCCTTATGTTGTAGTTGAACCTTGGATTAATGTTGGCACATCAGTGGGTGGGGTTGACCTTCAGGCTGTGACTGCAACAGACTTGTGTGGAGGCTGACACCACAGAGCAGGAGTCGCTTTAGCAGGGCTTTGGTGCCAGGCCCTTCAGGAGTGCTGTTTGTGGAGCTCGTGGGTGGTGCTCTGGTGTGGTGTGAAGCTGGCCACCACATGTGTTGGTTCTGAAGCCTCTTGGGAGGGACTCCAGGGTAGGCCAAGGTGAGCTGCCACTTGTACCAGGCTTGGGGCCGCTTAGTTGAAGCTATGGTCTAGGCCCGTGGTCGGCAAACTGCGGCTCGCGAGCCACATGCGGCTCTTTGGCCCCTTGAGTGTGGCTCTTCCTAAGCCTTAGGAGTACCCTAATTAAGTTAATAACAATGTACCTACCTATATAGTTTAAGTTTAAAAAATTTGGCTCTCAAAAGAAATTTCAATCGTTGTACTGTTTATATTTGGCTCTGTTGACTAATGAGTTTGCCAACCACTGGTCTAGGCCAAAACTAGCTGCTGCATGTGCTTGGGACCACCCGATAGGAGTAGCAGTGCAAATTGAGACCACTTGTTGCTTGTGCTGGACTTGGAGCTACTTAGCAAGAGCTACAAGGCACGCTGAGGCCAGCCACTGCTTGTTTGGGGCTTGTGGCCCTTAGAGAGATTTTGGGAAAGTCCACAGTGCTGATGGAAGCAGGCCACTTGTGTGGAAAAGCCGCTGGTAGAGACTTGGTCAGCGTGCGTGAGTTGGGTGGGGCGACCCGTGTGAGCCTGGTTAATGGAGAGCCCAGAGTTGGTGCTTGTCTGAGCCTGCTGACTGCAGGAGAGGAGCATTTGGCAAAGGAACAAAGAAGCCTCTCTCCTGACCACTTGCCCCTTCAGCCCTTTCTCTGAAGTAAGTCACCTTAGTTCCTCTTATATGTACCTGGCACTTTTTGAGCTGCTGCCCCTGTGCTGCGGCCCCATATTGAGTAAGTCTGTGCGTGCCCCCCACCCCTTTAAGAGGCGCGCCTAAGTCTCCAGCCACCCTCTGTCTCAGTCGGACGAAATCCTCACTGGTTTTTACAGCCAGATGTTATAGGGATTCCCCTTTTGGTACTGGTGCCCGGGGCTGGGGATACCTGTGTGGGGCTGGGACCCCTCACTCCTCAGGGGTATCTACACAGCCAAGCTATCCCTAACAATTATTTTTTGTTTGGTTGGTTTTTGTTGTTGTTAATCCTCACTCGAGGATATTTTTTCCATGGATTTTTAGACAGAGTGGAAGGGAGAAAGGGAGAGGATTGCGATCAAACCTGCAATCCAGTTACATGCCCTTGACCGGGAATTGAACCCCTGACCCTCTGGTGCAAGGGCTGGCACTCTGACCACTGAGCAGCACTTGCCAGTGCTCCCTCCCGATTCTTAATCACCAAAGAATGGGTGTGGGACCTGCCCTTACCACCCCTCCTACTAGTCTCAACATGGCTTCTCTACATCATTAGTTAGAGGACTTCTGTTCAACTAGTCTTCAGATGGTTCTCAGTGCTGGTGGGTCTGTAATTAGTTATAATTGTGATGTGGTCATGGGAAGAGGCGAGCACAGGGGAATTAATAAGAGCACATCTTCCTGTGCTCCCACCACTACTCTGGATCTGTTCTGTGAATAAACACACCAAAGGAGCAGGTGTGCTTTCTATGCCCTGTCTCTTGCTAGAGACAGTGAGACATGGTCCTTCAGCCTCAAGAAGTTACTAGCAGGGAAATTTGCAATTCCAGTAAAATGTGGTCATGGGGTATTTACAGCAAAGTAGAAGGAGTGTCTGCCTGGGGAATTGAGAACAGCTATAAAGAGGAAAAAGTACATATTTGAGCTGAGGCTTGAAGGCATTTTCAGAAGAAAGGGCATCCTAGGCAGAAGGAATAGTATTTGCAAGGACACAAAAGAGTATGGGATAGTCAAGGGCATGCAGTTTAGAACTACAGTGGGGCCTTGACTTATGAGTTTAATTCGTTCCTAGACCGAGTTCTTTAAGGAGCTCGTTAAGGAGCTCATTAACTCAAATTACTCTATCAACTCAATGCAAAAAATCGGCGGAGAGACAGCTGGTATCTCAAAAAACTCGTTAGTCGGGACACTCGTAAGTCAAGGCCCCACTGTACCACAGATCGAGAGAGGAAAAGGGAAACAGGCTAAATGAACCCAGGTGAGAATGCTTACGCCTTGAAGGCCACGCTTGGGTCCTTACACGCCTGCCTCTACACAGGGAAGGAGGACATAGGTGGTGGCAGTGGTGGGAGTAAAGGATCATTCACAGGACATCTCTTGTATATTAGGGTTTTTCTGCCAGGGAGATAAGTGGTGGGAGTAAAGGATCATTCACAGGACATCTCTTTTTGTATATTAGGGTTTTTCTGCCAGGGAGATCTAATGTAAGCAGGAAGCCTTGGTCTGGTGGGAAAGTGTAGATATCCCAAATGGCCTGTGTGACCTCATAAGTTCTCTGGAACCTACTTTCTCAAGGAAAATCTCTCATAGGGGATAGGACACAGGTTATGGTACCATTTTTAATTTTCTGAGAAACACAAGATATGAGGCTGGAAGGGAGCTTTGAGAGAGGGCAGGAGATGACACAGTCCATCTATGCAATGGAGTTGATTTCTTAGAAAAAGGATTGGTTTTCACTCCTGTTCCTATCTTTAAAATTTCTTCAACTTGGAACTGCCCAGTTAAGTGGCTCACAGAACCATTGGATGAGTTCAGTATCTGCACATTTGCATAAGAGCCAGCTGCAGGGTCTTCTAATGCCCAAATGAATTTCTGATACTGGGGCAAGATGCAGACATTCCCATTTTAATCAGGGACTGCAGTCCTTGCAGGTGTGTCTCTGACAGCGCAGGAGGCCTTTGTGAAGAACTCTGGTATGGGCGGAATGGAAGATCCTCAGGAGTGTTGTGGGTGGTAAAGGTATACAAAGAAACTAGGCTTGTTTCGCAGAACTGGAGGAGGTGGCACGTGTGGTCAGAACGAAGAAACAGGGCTCAGCTCCTGTTGGCCTGGTTGTGTGTTCTGCTGCTTGGAGCGCTTGCAGTACTTGTAGGACAGAAATGCCACAGCACAGGCTCCAAGAAGCATGAGAGAAAAGAGCGTGTATAACGCAGTCTGGGCTTCTGTTGCACCCAGGGCTAGGCCCAGGAACTGGACCTCCTCTTCTCTCTTGGGACTGATGGTGGGTCCAGCATCTAGGAGAGGACAACAGAGGGCGGTTCACACTAGCACCGATGTGGTTACTGGACTGTGCTAACCTGTTTTAAGCCCAAGCTAGATCCCTGGCACAGGTGCCCCGAGTGAGCACCTTGCTGAGGGCACATCCCTGTCACTGACGGATGAGCCTCTGAATGAAGTTAAGTAGATTTATTTTTAATCATCTCTATCAGCAATTTAGAGTATAATCTAAATTAGGTAATTGTCTCTTATATTTGTACTAGTGGCCCGGTGCATGAAATTCGTGGGGGGGGGAGGTGTCCCTCATCCCAGCCTGCACCCTCTCCAGCCTGGGACCCCTTGGGAGATGTCCAACTGCCGGTTTAGGCCCAATCCCACAGAGATCGGGTCTAAACCGGCAGTCAGACATCCCTCTCGCAATCTGGGACTGCTGGCTCCTAACTGCTCACCTGCCTGTCTGCCTGATTGCCCCTAACCACTCTGCCTGCTGGCCTGCTCGCCCCCAACTGCTCC